ATACCAACGTGTGACCAGATAGGGAGGGAGGGTAAAAGAGTTTTCTTAGAAAGGAGTAAAGAGCAGAGAAAGTCGGATTGTTTCTGAGGAGTCTTAGAGAGCCAAATGTCAGAGTTGTAACCTAGTTGAGGAGGATTGAGAGGAGAGCGAGAGAAAAAGCGACCTACTCGGCCACTAGAAGTGACACCTCTTTTGGCTAAGGAGTCGGCAAGTTCATTACCAGGGATACCAACATGTGAGGGAACTTTGATAAGGTCAACGTAATATACTGTGCGGAGGGCTGTGTAATACTGCTGAGCAAGCTCCACTAATTGATGATGAGTAGAGGGGAACTGATCACCTCGTAAGGAGCGGATAACGTAGGTGGAATCAATGTAAATTATGACGGAGGAGCCATGCGGTAGATCAGAGTAAAAAAGAATATAAGCAAAAAGTTCGATGATAGCCCGCATTTCTCCAGTGTTGTTGGAGCCATCGACAGGATTAACGATATTCGAATCTAAAGGAGAATTTTTGACTTGTCCGTACGAATATATCCAGGAGTCATTAAAAGAGGAATGTGAGTCAGGATAAGAGTCCGAGAAATATAGAGCGAAACCCCATCCGGCGGGGTTATCAGGACCGACTGTGCGATTATTGGGACAGGAGCCGTCGGTGTACGAGACTAGAAAGGAGGAAGTGTGGGGTAGAGAACAAACAGAGTTATTGGTACTAGCAAGTAGGGAGGTCTCAACTGCTTCATAGAAAGCGGAGGATTGAGAAAAGTCCAGTTTTGGCTCGGAGTGAGCGGGGGGTTGAGGTAAAAAAGAACTAGAATAGGAAAAGATGAGAGGAAGATGTCGAGTGTTAATGAGCTGTTGAAAATGAGAGCCCTTGAATTGAAAAGAAACAGTGGTATGGGTGGCAATCTCCCGGTAGTCCAGGCGGAGTACCGAACTAGCATCGCATGGGCAGCAGGGAACAAAATCCCAGGAGAGGGAGTGGCAGCTCCAATGACCCGAGCCACGTTGAAGTGATGAGACATCTGGAGAGGCAGATGCCGTGGAGGGCAAATCGGACAAGACATGCAAGTAGTTCTTGGCAGGAAGTTTCAGGTGGCAGCTTGCCATGAGAGCAAGGTGCAGCCAATGGAATGGGAACCGCTACCCCCGGATGGGCTGTCTACAGCTAATTTTGGGTGCGTTTTGCGGTTCTGGGCAAAAACAAATGACTGAAGAGCCTCGAACGAGAAAGTCAGGTGTTCCATTTCCAGGGCAGATGGGCTGCTTGAAACATTAAGAAAATTGCGCCCTCGCTGATATCATTGCCCCATGCTCCAGAGATGTGTACTGATAGTCTCCAGCCGGGGGTAGCTAGCTAACGGCAAGTTGAAAGTGGAGTTGTTGCTGTTTTTCACAATTGTGTCACTTTGTTGCCCTTGTAGGTTTTCAGTAAAAGGCACAGAACCGTGGTGGGACAGGGGATTCATGCTGGTTAGGGCAGTGTTGTATTGGGTTTTTAGTTATTGGAGTACTGCTGGCTTGGGAAAGAGTATCACCATGACTTCTGGGCCCAGCTGACATGAGTACTCCAGCAGACCCTGACCGGAAGGAACTGCCGAGTATAATTGTACTCGTGAGTGGATGTTGATTTTTGTGCAAGGGAGATTGGGAGTTTTAAGTATCATCACCAGCTGGAGTGCGGAGTGTCATGAAAAAAAAGTATACGGGAGTATTCCGCATGCCAGATCTGCAAGTGTTGTATGTTACTCGGCCTGGCAACCGACCTTGACCGGACATTGCATGGGCTTGGGACAGCAGAGAGTGAGAGATGGAGGTTTTGGTTTCAAGGGTCTGTCAATAATCTTGAGGAGAAGAGCACACGCAGGACAATTTCTTGTGATCAAGCCAAAATGGACCAATCATGGGCCGAATGATGAAAATGAAGCGTGATAACGCGGAGCTTGTGAAGGTGACGGTCAAGTGCCATGGAGGGGCGGTTCAACGTTGTGAGAGAAAATCGGAAACAATTCCAGTCACAACATGGAAGGGGAAAACTCCTGCAGGCTCCTGTGTTATGCGAGACCCCGCGTCTGCAGCCTGCCCACGGCAAGACAAGTTCAACGTCAAGCTGGCACTCTATACCCCGTGATGAATGGCGGAAGTTCATTAACCACTTCCGGGAGGCGGATCATGGACGATACAGCTGCCCTTGACAGTCACCTTGAATTTGCAGGATAGCAGGGGACACACGTGCTGAAAGAAGCACACGCGCCCTTCTACCAATTCCGCAGACCCCAGGAATTATAGCAGGGTGACGAACCAGGGCGTGGGCATTATTGGCTTTTGCTGTTTGGGGGGGGGGGGGGNNGCTTTTGCACACCAAAGAAACTTGTCACGTTTCCGTCAGAGTCATTAAAGAGTCATCTTGACAGTGTTCACTTTGGACTCGAGACGGTAAGAAGTTGCTCGGGAGTGCGATTCAACGAGAGTTTGACGGGGAGTTTGGGGGAGGCAGGGAATGGCGTCCTCTGTGTTGAGTAAGGGGCTGAGAGCGCCAGCGCTCCAAGATCTCTAAACTCTGCTAGCATCAAGTCTTCTTCATGTCTTTGTAGAGGCGCGCATGCTCACGGCCTTGCATTGTTAGTACGCCAGTATGCATGGAGGTGGCGCTGCCCTTCTTTGACGCCAACTTGGCTGCCTGGAGCCCGATGACAGCTCCGGTTCCGTCCCTTCACATGTCTCATCACCCAGACTCGCAACTTGGGGGGGATCCCAGCAATCACTTTCACGGACCTGTGGGCACAGTCACTGCTGGTGCATGATGGTACATGTGGTCCTTCTGTCAAGCATTCTTCTTGCAGGACAAAGCCATCGAGCCGGTAATGAAGGTCATGAGTGTTGCGGACATGGGAGACTGCAGAATGCTGAGCTTTGCTGAGCTATGCGTTAAGCCGCTAAACTGAGCAGTTGGAGCTGAGCAGCTGAGGTCTTCCACAGATGATCACTCTTCGCCACTTGTTGCACGTGCCCTTGGCTTAGCACGCTTCTGGCATCGTACAACACACTAATGTGCAAGAAGGTGCAGGGCTCTGGAAGCAGCCGCTTCAAGAGAGTAAGGCAATCGTCACGAAAGCTTGTTTTGCTTTGCGTCCAGGCTAACGAGCACTAGCCACGACTTCTTCCCAATCGCCTTTTGGAAGCGTTTGACTAAGAGCGGAGACGGCTGGAATGCTTGGGGAATCTTGCCAGGTTCGGCCCCTTGCCTGGGATGTCTCGGACAAGGCAAGAGCTCCGCGAGCTCCGAATCTTGGGCTTCCCCAAATGGTCTTCACCTCAGGGCCTCTTGGAGGGCACGATGACTCGGAAGAACGTCGAGCTTGGAGCCGAGCCTTTGCTTCACCTTGCTTCACTTTGCTTCACTTGACGGTATTGGCCTGTTTCGAGGCGGCTCTTGAAGATGTTGGACCCTCGTGGCGAGACACCAGACCGAGAGATTGAAATTCGGCTCATCTTGGGCTCAGCTCTCTGAGCTTTCTGAGCTTGCTGGAAATGTCTGTATTTCAGGATCTCATGGAGCCCCAGTTTCAAGCGCCACCGGACGGCCCGGTCCCCAAAATCCGCTTATCTTCTTCAAGATGCCCTTAGAAAATACAAGCTAACCACCATCGTACGAAGTATAAATGGATGGGCCCGCAGGTTACTCCTGAAAGCAACCAAATACAAGCATGTGTACACTAATTAGATTGAACATGAACAGCAAGCTCGTCCATGCCCTTGCGTAGAGCTCTCAGAAAGAAGCCTTGACACCTTGGCGTCTCGTAAATGTCCACAGGGTCCAAGCCCGAACAGTAACCGATATTACAACATTATTGTGGATTTCACAAAGCTGCGCTTCGCCTAGGTGTTGACTTCAATGATCTTCTAGATAAGTCTTGCGTTGCGCGCTGGGTATTGCCAACATGTACTTAACTATGGTAGTTGTGCGCACATGCAGAAGTAAGATGTCGGTAAAACAAGGGGGAGAAGGTAACAAGGAAACAAAGCTGGGGGATGCTGGGGGCTTTGGCTTTCCAGGCAGCGAGCCGCTGGTGGAAGGCTCACCGGTGCGCGTCTCGCCGGACTGCACCGTCAAGGATGCACGCGGCCGAGAATGAAACGGCTTCTTCTGCTCTGCCTCTTTGCTGAGCCTCGCCGTGCCTCGCCGTCTTGCCTCAGGTCTACCTGCTCATGAAAGTGGCCTTGTCCCCAGTGTGTTGTTCTCACCGCGTCTTATCAGATTATGCGTCGAAGTACTGGGAAGGCCGAGAGCGACGGCGTGGTCTACGTCACGGATCGTGGAATCCTGTAACTGGGCCTTGCAAAATCGTCACAGCTTTAAGTGTCTTTCGGTTCTCCAGCGTGAAGCTGGCCTCGCCCAGAGGCCCAGAGGCCTCCTGCCCTCTCCTCTCGAGTCCACACACTGCGCATGAAGATTGTGAGAATTTGTGAGAGTTGAATGTGTGTATTGGGGTGAGCTTGGGGGATGTTGGGGGGATCCTGGTGTTTTTCTAGGAGGCTTTCTGTAGGAGTCTTGCAGTTCTTTTCATGGGCCGTGAGGCCTGGACTCTAGCTCTTCTGCCTCTGCATCATCTGTTGCTTCACGTCCTGTGTCACCAGTTCTCCACTATTGAGCTTTCGTCCCAGCCCATGGCTCTCAGGTCACATATGTCTTGAGAATGCAGAATGCAGAGTACGAAGTCTGAGTATTTCTTAAACGGCAGGCTTTGAAGATTGTCACGTTGGTTACCGGAGTCTGAAACATAAATGCAGTAAACCCCTAACATCTCCAAAGGATTGCAAGTTACAGTTGTGAATAGGAAGTATGACGGAGGGTATACGGGGAATTGAACTCCAAACACTACCCTGACTCAGGATGCCTTGAACTTGGGCGGCCTTTTCGGATGCCTTTTGGGCGGCCTTGGCACGGCCTTGGCACTCCTGGAAGCGCGAAACGGGTGAAACATGCTATTTGAAGCCATGAACGTGTGGGGACTCTTCGCCATCGGAAGATTGAAGCACGATCGTGACATTGTGGACGGCTAAAAACTTTGCTTGGCGCCAAAGCTCGTGCGTACCAAGGATCTTCTGCTGAGAGAGACGCCCAAATTTGTATCTTGTTCTATAACACTCCTTAACATGCGGCAAAAAAGCGTCACCAGAATACAAACCACGTGCTGGCACGTGCCAAGGGATCTGCGGCCTTGCGGCCTGCTCGCAGGTGACGAAACCACCTCCAAGAGACTAGACCGCGGCCCCCGGATCATGTTTCACAAGGTTTCACATGTGCACCAAGGCAAGGCTTCATCACGTTGAGCACGCTGATGAGCCGCCAGGCGGGGTTCAGCGTTGTAAGGGGCCCATGACATCCCATGTCCCCTACATGATCCGATTTGGGCCTCGCCAGATCTGAAGTCGCGTCTCCGGCGAGCAGCATTGTTTCCGCTAATGCTGAAAAGAGGCAAAGTTGTGTGCGGCTACCTTTTGCAGAGTTGCAGGGTGCCGGCACCGTGTCTTGAAGCCGTTGTGAAACTGTATGCCATCTTTTGCATTCAGATGCTAGCCAGAACCACAGCAAGCGGGCACATGTTGTTGGTTTTTAAGCAACAGCTGACTCAGGACCGAAGATTCAGAAGATGTCATGATGTGGCTTTGTTATGCGACAGGGTCCAGCTGGGAGTTGTGTCACTTGTGTCAATAGCCGCAGAGCTTCCAAAAGCTTGGCGCGCCAATCTGCGGCTTTCATGCAAGTCTCGGACTTGGAACCGAAAGCAACTTACAAGGATCTTTGGTATATTGGTATCTTGAACCTTTTTCGACGGGAGTCCGGTTGGGTAGATTACGGAAAGAGGGTCAGGATGAGGTAAGTGTTGTTTGTCTAGGACACTTTTTGGTTGTCCGTTCTACAGCATCCGACACTTGCCAGCTTGCTTAAACAAATCAGTTTTGGTAGTTGCGAAAGCTTCCGTTTCGTATTGAGCTCTGTCTGTCCTGGAGCACCAATATCTTTGTCAGATTTTGCAGTGTTTTCGAAGGATGGTTTTGTCCTGGTGGTCCTAAGAATTCAGGAAACATAGCTGAAGCTGGCGCCGTCTGACGCTGCTGATGCTGCTTGGGGGGATGGCGATTGGCATGTTTTGGGCACGGCGGAGGCCGTGTGTACTTAGCTATGGCGTGTTCTGGCAGAGACTGGCATGTCCAACTGCAGGGAGCTATAAAAACTGTTGTTGTTACTTGCTTTGATTAAGATCAGTGAATGGACAAGAAAGGTTATGAAGATTGGGGAAGGAATCAGTTGGGTACTGAAACGTTGCCTACCCAGCCAGAGAGCCGCAGCAAGAGAATCGTATGAGCATTTTCGAAACATCTTGGAAGAGCTAGGTTTCGTTTGTCAACAAGCATTTGGTACGCCATCGCGCAAAGAAGTTGCTGACCTCTATCCATGTGGATGCTTAGATGTCGGCAAGAAAGGAAGAACCAACTGAATGGCTGATCAAAGAGTTGGAGAAGCATTTTCGTGTAGGGAAGGAAGGACCATTCCCAATAAGACCCGGTGACGGAGAAGAAGTCAGGTAGTTACCTGAAGAGGAAGTATGTGTTTGTTCCAGAAGGAATTGTTGTACATCCGAACGAGAAGTATGTCAAAGCCATACTGGAGTTGAACAACCTACAGATGCTCAGAGAGAAAGCAACAGCGGAACATCCGGATCTAATTTGATGAAGGAAGACAAGAGTAAGAAATGCACACCTGAAGAAGCTAAATTGTTTAGGTCAGGTTTAGGCAGCGTTCTGTATTTGTCACAGGACAGAGTTGACGCTCAGTTTGCCACGAAATCATGTGTTAGCTCTATGAGTAAGCCTACTCAACAAGCAGTGAAGTGTCGGAAGCACCTGATACTTTACCTGAAATGCACCATTACACGGACATTCTTACTTCCATTATGTTTCCGAAGGACAAGCTTATCACGGAATTGAACGGCGGAGAGAGGGAATCTGACAATACTTGCGTCGAAGCATTCTCGGATAGTGACTGGGCCTCGAAGTCATTTAGCGGACAGCTGAAGAGTACCAGCTCAGGGATTATCTACGTGAACGGAATATTGGTTTTTAGTTTTTTCTAGATCTCAGAAAGCTATTCCGACATCAAGCTGTGAAGCAGGACTTTACGCAATGTCAGGATGCGCAGTAGAATCTTTGTTCGTGAAAGATTTGGCTCAGTTTGTACTTGAAGTTGCCCAAGAGCTGTGTCACCTGCAGGCCTTCTTACGAGATTCTGTTTTGTCAGTTTTACCCATGAATACGAGGCTGAATATTGCAGACCTAAATACCAAGAAGTTGTCAAAGGCTCGAAGAGAATTCCTATTGTACTACTGTGGAAGTATTGAAGTTGAGGGAGATCTAACTCGTGCTGGACAACACGAAGTAGAACAGCATCTAGGAGAAGAAGTTCACAGAGACGGTATGTACCATAAAGGGTAAGAATAACTTGAAGCGTTTGACTCAGTTGCTAGTGACAGCAGTAGCTGTTATCCGAGAAGGTGAATCGGCCCAATCTCTGAAGGAACAGGACAAGAGACTAGGATGGAAGAACTAGCACTGATAATGATCATATTGGTCATTGCCAGATTTGGACTCGGATGGATCATCAAGTGTTGCATCATCATGGTTTTGTTGTCATGGGTGAATCGAGTGAATCCTGGACAAGATCACAGCAGAACCTGTTGGTGCATCGGAAGCAGCCCCTTCAGAACAACGCCGACGCCAAGAATGAGTCCAATTATTGTTCGGAGCCCGATCAAGATTGCATGGTACGTGGACCGTTGAATCTAGGGGAGCCCGCTTTTACTGACGAGGAGGAAGAACCAGAACAACCTAGTGAACGACTTCGTGAAGTGTTACGTGAAATTCCATTACTACCTCAACCACAAGAAGAAGAACAGCCAAGTGAAGCTCCCGTTCGTGACCGATTGAATGCCTGGTTGGAGGAGACTGTAGCAAGACCTGCCCATGAGGCATGTGTGAAGGATTGCGAAACCGCAGGAACCAGATGCAAGTTCATGTACTTCCTTGCCGGAACGTATTTCATCGGATCACCTTCCATGCCCTTGATATGGGGTTCA